GGAGGACCAGTAGTGGTCGTAGGAGGACTAGTGGTCGTAGTAGGAGGACCAGTAGTTGTAGTAGAAGGACCAGTGGTCGTAGTAGGAGGACCAGTGGTGGTCGTAGGAGGTCCAGTGGTCGTGGTTGGAGGACCAGTGGTCGTAGTAGGAGAACCAGTGGTTGTAGTAGGAGGACCAGTGGTCGTAGTAGGAGGACCAGTGGTGGTCGTAGGAGGTCCAGTGGTCGTAGTTGGAGGACCAGTGGTCGTAGAAGGGGGACCAGTGGTGGTAGTAGGAGTAGGAATGTCTGTGAAAATAATGTCACATATTTGAATAATATTTGAATTTGTGGTGGTAGAGATTGAGTAGCTGCAGAAGGAGGTTGTTGGAGAATATTTAGGACATAAAGAAATAAATATTTTCGTGGTTTTAGTGTTGGGAACTTACTTGTTTCACAGTTGCTTCCTGTGTATTGTGGTGTACAGGAGCAGGTGTAGTTTCTATTGGTGTAGGTACACGTTCCATTGTTCTGACATGGATTGGAGTCGCACGGGTTCAAAACTACAAGGAAACGATCTCGTTAGTGCGTTGCTCATTATTGCGTTCGACCACAACTCCGCAGGTTGTTGGTGTTCAACAGAATAGTCCCTTTCACAGTTCCCTGCGCTATCTTGAAAGGTAGCCGTGCCTTTGCATCGAAGCGAGACGAACGGTGAGCTTGCAATGATAGAGACCTTTTTTTTAACACCTTGGACAATTATTCACATTTCTCTACCATTGTAAGCTCACCGTTCGTTACGCTTCGATGCAAAGGCACGGCTACCTTCCAAGATGGCGCAGGGAACTGTAAATGGGACTATTGCCTATAAAAATTATAATATTTTTCTCAATTATTGCCATTTTCCTTATATTTTACATAATGGGTTTAACTTTTGCCTGATTACTATTTCATTGGTTTATTTTCAAACAGCTGCTCAATCAAGGAAGTTAGGTCACGTGACCTATTACTGTTAATGAGCTATTTGCTTGAATAACGTGACGTGACAGTTTGTAACAGAATGGAGCGCTTTATGTGAGAATGAGTTAGAACCTCCTTGTCAAGAACTGTAATTACCCTCAATAAGCTGAAAAAATTTGAGAAGACACATCGCAATTAAGGACCCACTACTAACCACTCTTCGGTAATGTCGGTTTTTAAGGACAAGTTGACCTTTTTAACTTGGGCGTAAAGTTTTTCCATTTCATACCACGTGTCATTCTCTTGAGAATAATATTCTTCTGTATGAGTTGTATCTATATTCATACGTGTCTTCTCAACCGTTAAACAAAGAAATGCGGCTAAGAAATGACACATGGTCTGAAATGGGACAACATCACGCCCAAGCCAAAAAGGTCCATACTCCCCCACTAAAAACAGCTCCAATTCGAGGTTGGAGTTACCGTGCAGGATAAACCACAGTTTTGCTATGCACGGCAACTTTAACCTTAACTTGGAAGTATTTTTAGTGTTCACTGAACGAGACCGTAAAAAAGGGGTACTAACTGCTAGCTAACGAACTTGGGCACAAATTTGAAATTTTACGTTATTTTGTTTTTGTTTTGAATTCTTGGGCTTAACTTGATGGCGCATCAATATGTTAACACTAAGTAGACGTACCTAATGGAATGTTCAACAAATCCCCAACGTTGCAGAAATCACCATCGCAGCAAGCACCGTCACATGTAGTTATATTCACACCATGCTGTTGCTGTTCTTTCCAGTGAGCACACAGCTGACTGCAATATGATACGTTGACGCATCTTCGTGTAGCTACGTTAATGCTGTAGCTTGGAGATGATGATACTCCCTCGTATGTCAGATTGATGCATCTTTGATCGTAGTGACAAGTAATGATCTTCAGCGGTTCCACTGTTTCCCCACTCAGTGAAGTATTAGTTTTTGTGTATTTGCCACAAACAACGTTCCCCGGTATTTCTTGAAAAAGAACGAGTGTTAAAACCCTGATATATTTAAAGGAATTTATTTCTGAAGTAACAAGTAAGTTTATGGCCCAAATAAGAATCGTTTGCTGTAATGCACTACCCAAGCTTTCGTGCCAGAATCCCCCTCCTCTCGATCCTAGGCCCCAAAAATGCCATGTTCGATCCGCGGGAACAAGGTGAACTTTTGCAAAAATGAAACGGAAATACAAGATTAAAAAGTATCGAATCGAAAGTGCCTCTGAAAGTACTTGATTGGTGAATGATTACTCAAACAGGACATATTTCTTGGGAAATGTGTCTTTTTATTGATGTTGCAGGGCACCTGAGCCACAAGAATGTTGCTTTTAAACATGGCTGACCATGGTATACCATGGTATTGATATTTGCTTCAAACATGGTTGACCATGATATGCCATGGTATTGATTATGCTTCAAATGTGGTTGACCCTGATATACCATGATATTGATATTGCTTCAAACATGGTTGACCATGATATACCATGATATTGATATTGCTTCAAATATGGTTTACCATGATATACCATGACATTGATATTGCTTCAAACATGGTTGACCATGATATACCATGATATTGATATTGCTTCAAACATGGTTGACCATGATATACCATGATATTGATATTGCTTCAAATATGGTTTACCATGATATTCCATGATATTGATATTGCTTCAAACATGGTTGACCATGATATTCCATGATATTGCTATTGCTTCAAATATGGTTTACCATGATATACCATGACATTGATATTGCTTCAAACATGGTTTACCATGGTATTGATTTCGCTTCAAATGTGGTTGACCATGATATTGATATTGCTTTCAAACATGGTTGACCAAGATATACCATGATATTGATATTGCTTCAAACGTGATGGTGGAAAGTCTCTACTAATATTATTATATTTCTTACTTGTTTCACAGCGACGGCCTGTAAATCCTGGTTGGCATTGACAGAAGCTTGTGCCATTATTGCTCAAACAAGTACCGTAATAGAGGCATGGATCATTCTCTGAACAAGCTGAGCAAAAGATAAAGGTAAAAAAATCGTTTACTGATGATTGTAAACTACACGGCAGCTAACAGCGCCTTAATATACAGCCCGTGAAAGTCCTCCACTTGTTATAAATGTAAAGGGCATTCATGGTTGATGGTAATGTGTTCTATTCTTAGAGTACAGACATATATTTCAAAATCCCTCGAGATATAAATAACAGTAAAACAGCCGCCATGTTGGTTGATCTTACGAGAGAAGCTGATGAGGAATGCTTTGTTATCTTCAACCGATAAGATAGCGGCTACGATGTGAAATGTACCCCGTTATATAAGAACTCACCTTTCATGTAAACTAGAAGCGAGGAAAGCTAGATAAAAACGTATTTATCTTTTAGTACCGTACTCTTGTATCTTTAGTACGATTTGGGTTTGATCTATTATGGCACAGGACCTTGTCCTTGATATTTAGATATATCATGTAAAGCCCCAATTTAATAATCCCTTAGTCTAACCTGAAGTAGGAGGACCAGTGGTGGTAGTAGGAGGACCAGTAGTGGTCGTAGGAGGTCCAGTGGTGGTAGCAGGAGGACCAGTAGTGGTCGTAGGAGGACCAGTGGTTGTAGTAGGAGGACCAGTAGTGGTYGTAGGAGGTCCAGTGGTGGTAGCAGGAGGACCAGTGGTCGTAGTAGGAGGACCAGTGGTCGTAGTAGGAGGACCAGTGGTTGTAGTAGGAGGACCAGTGGTTGTAGAAGGAGGTCCAGTGGTCGTAGTAGGAGGACCAGTGGTTGTAGTCAGAGGACCAGTGGTTGTAGTAGGAGAACCAGTAGTGGTCGTAGGAGGTCCAGTGGTGGTAGTAGGAGGACCAGTAGTTGTCGTAAGAGGACCAGTGGTTGTAGTTGGAGGACCAGTAGTGGTAGTAAGAGGACCAGTGGTTGTAGCAGGAGGACCAGTGGTTGTAGTAGGAGGACCAGTGGTGGTAGTAGGAGGACCAGTGGTCGTAGTAGTAGGACCAGT